CAGCAAATATATGCTAATAATATAAGCTCACATAATGCATTTGCAAGTGATGAATTGAAAAACTGATAGTTTTCCATTTTCACCCTAGGCATTCCCACTTGGGTCCCACATGAATCCCAACTAGAAAAAATGTGCAAAAAATTTTTTATTTTCACGTTGGGTATTTCCATTTAGATCCCAATTAGAAAAAAACTTCTAAAAATTTTTTAATTTCACATTGGGCTTTCCCACTTTGGTCCCACATGAAACCCAACTGGAAAAAAATGCCAAAAATTTTTTATTTTCACGTTCGGTATTCCCATTTAGATCCCATATGAATCCCAACTAGAGAAATTGACAATAATTTATTTCGTTTTCAGTTAGGTTCTTCATTGGGTTCTCATTCGGATTTCCCTATTGGGCATGATCCATTGGAACCCAATGGGGGTCAGATGTATACCTTGGGTATTCCCAATATAATTTCTAGTCGGGTTAATGTAAGCCGAAGTGGTGTCAATTTACGATTATTCCCTCGTCGTTCTAATACTACGGAAGGTCAACGTCACATTACAACAGTAATGTGACGTTAAAATTTTGCCGGTAAAATTTTGTCGTTCTCAAGCTGATCAACATCATAAGCATGAAGACACGAACTTATGCTTTAGCACTATCCGTGATTTAGAAACAATAGCATCATTATTAGGACCGCAGCAAGTGTGTTTTCTATCACAAGATGATAAAGCTCGTGTCCCACTTGGTATTACTGCGGCTAAAAAGCAGGCTCCGATACTTATGCATGTTGACTACCTTGTCACTCTTCCTGATCACGATTGGGTAGTCGCTGAGAGTCATAAATTAATTCCTTCGGTCTATGCTGGAATTATTATACAACCCAATGGTGAAAGAAGACCCAATGCAGTGGGTTACTTTGGACCCACTTATATAGTGGATCCCAGGAAGGTTCTGGGTTCGAATCCTAGTCCGAGCTATCTAATAATTTTTTCTCGCATATTCTATACACTCACATTAAGATGATCCTCTCCACAATCCTTTCTCAATCCTTTCCTACCAAAATATCCTGTTACGTGAATGTTGGAACGCTTCACGTAATAATTATCCGTAACTCCTATTCTTTCCCGCTTCACAGCATTATTTATATTTGTTAAAAATGCTAGCCGTAAGATGGACGGTGTGGCTTAATGTATATAGAACAAGTGAAAGGAAATTTAGTATAGACCGAATAGCTCAAATGGTAGAGTAGCCGACATGTCGTCGGAAGGTTCGGGGTTCGAATCCCAGTCCGAGCTATCTAATAAAATTTTTTCTCACATATTCTATACACTAACATTAAAAAGTTCCTCTCTACAATCCTTTCTCAATCCTTTCCTACCAAAAAAATATCCTGTTACGTGAATGTGGGAACGCTTCACGTAATAATTATCCGTAACTCATATTCTTTCCCGCTTCACGGCATTATTTATATTTGTTAAAAAATGCTAACCGTAAGATGGACGGCGTGGCTTAATGTATATAGAATAAGTGAAAAGAAATTTAGTATAGACCGGATAGCTCAAATAGTAGAGTAGCCGACATGTCTTCGGAAAGTTCTGGGTTCGAATCCCAGTCCGAGCAAT